ACCTCCTTTAACTTTAAGGAGTATAGTACTCACTTTGACCAAGACGTCCACTTTCAGTGTATGGAGTTTCAAGTTTTCTGTAAGCTAATAGTACCACTTCATGCACTGTATCATCAGTGTATGATTAAATTGAACTGCCAAGAAATACAAAAACTAACATAATGTGGTACCAGATTCTAAATAAGAAGTGAACATGTATTCTGTTTGGAATTAATGACAAAAAATAAATAAACGGTACTGAATTCTGATGAATTTCATCCCTGATAATAATTGATGCTATAATTGTCGTTATTTCATTATTTAAAATGCATATGGGATTTCATTCTTGTTTATATTTTAGTTTTGCTTATATCTCACTTTAGACTATTAGGGTTACAGCCAAATATATTGATAACAGCAAGATTGCCCAGCTGATAAACCAATACATTTTAATCATTGTAAATAAGAATGTCATAGTAAACTACCCATATTTATTTATTTTTTACTGAGTTAATTTTCATTTCTGCTCCATGTAGGTTGCTTGCTTCGATCAGAAGTTAATGATCATATCTTAAGTAATGAGATAATACTTCTTTCAAAGTTTTAGATTAGAGATATAATAAAAAGATCTGTCAAATGGGACAGGTTTCTCTATATCAAATACATAAGTTTGAGCTTTTGATTCCTGATGATTTAATTCTTATGGAATAAACATGGGCCCATTTAGGCTATCTCATTTTTCACCATCATCTTATTCCATACTACATGTACAAAGTGTTGAGTACGTTATCTTAAAATGATTTTAAATATGTAATTCAGCAAGCCAACTGACAGCCACAGCTGGTATAAAGGGGCAGTGAATTGGCATATATTAGAACTATATTTTGACACTTTTTTTGCATTTTGTATGTAGTGAAATTCCACTTGGAATTGATTAATTTTGGGAAGGGTATTTAACAGCCTTTTCTGAACAAAATGTTCATACATTCCGATAAGGGACTTAGAAATTCAACATTTTGTACTTAATACTTTTTTTTTACTTTTTATTAGTGTTTTTAATGAAAACAAAAAGAAATTGCATAAGGTCTGGAACAGAACCCTGAGGTATGCTGCTTCTAACAGTAATTCACTGTGGTTTAATCCAACTTGTAACAACTTCCTGGCCTTTACCACCCAACTAACTCTCAATCCATTTAACCAGCTTATTTTGACTCAAAAGTTGTAGTTTTGATTGTCTGTTATGTGGCATCTTATCAAAAGCTTTCTGAAAATTCAATGCATTACCATTGTCCAGATTAGATGTAACATTTCCAAAGAAACACATTTTTTAGAGATGACCTTGCCTGTCAAAACACATTCTGACTATATGTGATAACATGAAACTTGTGTAAGTATTTTGTTGATTTTTTTTAGCTTCAAATAATTTCCCTTTTTTTTAAATAACACTAGCCAGTTGGTAATTATTATTTTCCCCTGAAAAATCAGTGTGATATTTCCTAATATGAAGTTTGCTGGTGCATTCATCACTTCTAATGGATTTGTTGATAATGAAGGTTAGCCAATAAATCTGTTCTTTTGTTTCCTTTGTTATCCAAGGATAGGTATTATCTGGCCAAGGTGTCATATTTCTCTTCACTGTTCCTATCTTGAATATTACCAGTGCTTGCATAGTTCTAACTTCGTTCAAGGATATATATCATATAATCTTTCAGTAAAAGATCCACTAGTCGAGTCCACATTACGTCTGTCATAGTAAAAACAGATGAGAATAAAACACCAGATACTCAGGCATCTTGTAATAATGAACAAAGGCCCTCCTATTTTCATTTGTCATCTATATTAACACTAGTTGGGAAGGCCTAAGTATAAAATTACAAGCAAATTTTCCACACTTTATTTTTTGGAGAAAGAAAATCCATTTTCTTTCCTCCTGATGTAACATAATACAAAACTTGCTTTTAACCTTTTTTTTATTGCATACATCACCTTATGAAGTCAGTATTAAATGTTTATTTTGTTTTTTATAAAGATTTCTCTTGAAAGTCAATTTAAGATAAGTCTGATGGAGACAAGAAACTGTAAAGTGTATAATAATGAAATGAGCAATGCTTGAATTTTTTTAAATTGAATTTATAAATGAAACTTTCATAAAAAATTGAAACATTATCTTCAGATGTAAAGTTATCAGTTACCAAGGTTTACATGTTATTTATGTATTACGTTACATCTGGAAGAATGATAATTGATGGGCTTCTTTTCTGTAAAACAAGTGTGGAATGCAGTTTTTATCGTTAACATTTTACTTTGGCCTTCATGACCAGTGTAAAGGTAATTGACAAACATAAACATAAGAGACAATTAGCATGATTTGTATGTTGAGCCATTTAACGTATCTTTTAACTGTTCTTCTGCGTCTAGAATTTTAAATTATTTGCTAAAATTTTTGTATTTTATTAATATTGTTTTTACAGTTGGTATTCTTCCTTCATTTAATTTTTTTTTATATATGTTGGTTAAGTTTTTTTTTGGATTGTAATATATTATAGATTCATGTTTTAAGGTCATGTCTGAATACAATTTTCTTTTAGTTATGTAATTTTTTTTTCAAGCGATTTAGTCACTCTGAGTTTTCATACTAATCTCTGTAGGTTTTTTTCGGATAGTGTTAAACTAGGTTGTAAAAGTTTTTATAGTAAAATATTCTCTAAGTATACTGAAAGTTTCATATTTGTATCTAGAAGAGAGAGAGAACATTGAAATAGGACTTAATTTACACCTATTCAGGAGATTGTGGAAAGGACAGGTAATTGAATGAGATATATTAAAGAGGTACTTTTATTGCAGTGCTTTTGAATGTGATGACTACACCTGTTAGATCAGAATAGTTATAAATAATGTACAAGAAACGTTTTTAAAGTTATAAGATAGAAATCCTTGTGTGGCTTAGGACAAATGTTGCCCACTAACTCCTTAAGCATGTACAATGTATTAGGACAAATGTTGCCCACTAACTCCTTAAGCATGTACAATGTCTTAGGATAAACCTATCTAGAGGTTTATGAAACAAAGATCTCTCCCTTACCATTAAACTTTGGTCGAATGAAACTAATTCCTTTATCTATTCATTTAAACATATCCCTAAAAATCACAGAATTCATTCTTGTACACTTTACAGTTTCTTGTCTCCATCTAAGACGTGAATAAATATCTAAAAAAGACATTGTACATGCTTAAGGAGTTAGTGGGCAACATTTGTCCTAAGACATTGTACATGCTTAAGGAGTTAGTGGGCAACATTTGTCCTAAGACATTGTAGCATGCTTAAGGAGTTAGTGGGCAACATTTGTCCTAAGACATTGTACATGCTTAAGGAGTTAGTGGGCAACATTTGTCCTAAGACATTGTACATGCTTAAGGAGTTAGTGGGCAACATTTGTCCTAAGACATTGTACATGCTTAAGGAGTTAGTGGGCAACATTTGTCCTAAGACATTGTACATGCTTAAGGAATTAGTGGGCAACTTAACAGTCATTCTTTTTAAGTATTTTGCCACTGACAAAATTCTTTTAGTTGGAAGATTGCCAATGTGATCCCTGTCTGTATAAAAAAAACTTATTCATCTGTTTAAAATTATTAGGGCTTTAAACATCTGCCTTTACGTGGTCTATCTGAATAGTGGAATTAAGGAACTGAAAATTCAGACATCAGTATTAAGAGATTGATATGTTTAAGATGGGAAGTTTGTACATTCAGATTTGTTCTTAAACCAAATGTTTTTACGTGTTAGACTTGTAAATTAATGAAATGGTTTACTAGATGATTTGTTTTTGAACTCTTAGTTTGGTGGTTAGTTATATGGATGTAGGTAAAATTTTTCTTTGAACTTTTTATGTTTTTCAATGAACAAATTAAATGTGGAATTTTGTGTTTAATTCTTTCACCCAAAATAATAAAATTGCAGTATTAGATACTGTATACTCCAAAAACTTTCTTTGTAGATCTGTCAAGAAGCCATGCTTTGTTTTCCTGATATATTTTATTAATAAGCAGATGAACACACAAAATTCATTAGAAATTGAAAAAAATACCATTTTCTCTCACTTAAGAATCTGATATTAATTTTCTAATTCTTACATAAAATATCTTATTTTTCTAGTATATTGTAAAGTTCACTAAAGATGTGACCATAATTGAAAAATGAAGTGTTTATTAAAGTGTAGTTTTATAAGTTAACTTGTGGGTGTAACAACAGAACCTACACATACTTTAAAACATGGTAGGAATGTAATGTTCATTCACAGCTGATGTCAAGACAGAGAATTCCAAGAAATAATGTGACAGAGACTGAATGTTGAAGGTAACAGGAAATGCCCTTAATGTAGCCCCAACACCTGTCATTGGCTCATGACTGTGTGGCATAGAGCACTTTCATAGGTCTTTTATTATTTCCAACATCTAAAAGTCAGCTTTGTATTTGAAAAAAAAAAAAGCTGAGAAGATAGAGAAAAAATTATATGTTCTTATTTGTGACAGAGGAACCTTTGGCCCATTTAGGTCACCCCTGATTTTGAAAAGAAAAAAAAATATTTCATAGAAGGTGCTGGCAAGTTGTGAGTTTATTTATGACCTTACATTTTATATTAAAAGGGTAACCTTTGTGTCACTGACTAATCCTAAAGAGAAGTCTTCATCACTAATAGTATACAAACCTGTATCGTGCATTTACCAAGTAGTGTTACAAATACATGTAGTATTTCATCCATTAGGCTTAATAAAACATTCTTTGTTTGCTTGATAAAGTTCAAGACTTATTTGATAGTGGTAGTTTGAATTTTTCGCACACAAAAAAAGTGGATAAATGAAAGCTTTTCCTAATTTTTTAAAAACATAAATACAGTCTTTGTTAGTTAATGACCTGCCATAGTATGCCAGGTGGTCTTCCAGACATGTCTCTTACTTGGTTATGTTCATGCAAAAGTTTTATCTGTGTGACTGGTGTTAATGTAAACAATTTTTTTCAGCTCTCCGAGAAACGTTTCTGGAAGCAGACACCCAAGGAAGAGGTTATGTGGAATCAAAAAATATTGTAAATGTTGTTCGTAAAGTTCTTGGTATCTTCCTAACACACACAGAAAAAGCTAAAGTAATAGCAAAAGCTGAATATCTGGCTACTAAAGGTAAATGCTACATAATGTAGTGAGTTTAATGATAAATAGCTTTGGCTAATAAAACAAAAAAAAAACATGTTTAGTGCAGTTTCTTACTTAAATAAGTTTTGTCTTTTATACTTTGAAATGATTGTAAAATAGTTGTCTATTGTGTAGGTAGAGGATTATGTTTCTGTAAAAATTCATGTAATAATATGTATTTATAAAAACTAGGTATCTAGAACACACACACATAAAGTCAGGGTTATAAAATATTTTGTTTTATGTAAGAGTATTAATTGAACATATATATAGGGTTCAACCCCATATTGAAGAAGGAAAGTTGATATAATTTCCGATTTACTACATGTATCTACATAACATAAGGTAAGCTTTTAGTAAAATATACAAATTTATTCTACATGACAAGTATTTCTGCTCAAGATACATCTGTGAATTGATGATATCAGTCTCACTCAGACTCTGACGAGTCTTAGTACAAGTCGATGTTCGTGTGAAAAATGAAAATAATTGAAGTCTTCTGTCTACCATACAGTTTAGATGTTGTATTTGCATAACCACTAGAACGCTCAAAATGCATATCTACAGTATTTCAGTATCCTTATATATTACATATGATATTTCTGCTCTATCAAGAACTGTCTCTAAATTTGGAATTTAGGATAAAGTTAATAGTTAATAACTCTGACATCAAACATGTAAAACCATATTGAATGACACTGTAAAAGGTCATGTTCTATGCACTTTGAACCCCACCCATGCACATAGGGTTAATTGAAGAATAGTGCAAGAAATCTTTAGATGTTATTTAATTTTTGACATATTTTCTGGAACTGATACATTTCTGTGGATGAACAGTAACCACAATGGACTGGTTGACTTAACACTATTTTTATATTTTGTGCTCTTTCACAATTCATTTGTGACTTACTGAGTTCTTAAAATACTTAGTTTTCATTTGTTTTGTATTCTTAAAAATTAAAGATATGAGCAGTAAGAAACCTTCTAGTACGTTAGATTTAAAAATCTTTAATTATGAAATTTATTTTATTGGACCATATCCAAAATTTGGAATCATGTTGCATAGGAAACATTTTCCATCAAAAGTGCCTGTTGGAAATAACATTAACATTGTGCATTTTTATATCTTCTTCGTTCCATCTTAGTTCTATCTGGTTTTGGGGCTGGCCACTCAGGTTGTCCTTTTCCAATAATATATATATATATGCTCCACGTCTCTTATTTCTTGATCTGTCCTATCTTTTCATCTTAGTTTTGACATCCTCTACTCCGTCTACGTTCAACTGGCATCCCAAATATTCTTCTCACTGGGGTATTTTCCTTCTTGTTTCCCACATGCCTGTACCACCTCAGTCTAGCTTCATGTGCCTTTTCTGTTATCTTACAGTTTTATATATGAAATGTAGTTGAAAGGGTGAAAAAAACTTAAAAAGATATTACTTGAATTATTTTTCATGCTGTATTTGATGAAAGTTACTGAGCTCTTTGAATATAAAAATGTTTAAGACTGCTATGTTTTGGAGGGATATTCTTCTGGAATAACATTGGTTTTGACACTTTGAAAACAAACATGGTTCATACGTGCTTTATGACAAGGAGCATTAACATGTTAAAGTGCATGTTATCGTGTTGACCAAAATATCTGCCTTAGAAAATGTTCATTTCAGATTCCTTGATATCCATGGGCAATTAGCATAGAATATTCAAGTGTTTTTTTTAACATTGACAATAAATTATTTTAATAATAAATAAAACTTTTTTACTTTTTCTTTGTTGATGATATATGGAAGTTGTTATGTTGTGAATCATTCATCATGAAGTCAAAACGGGCAAGCAAACAATCGTCTCCACTTTGTGTATCTAATGATGAGCTGTGTCAGAAATTATTTCAAACATGTATCCTTGTATACTGAAAGAAGGCACACTTGTTATCATCCACTTAAAAACTACTGATGCTTCAAATCACCTTTTCTGTCATTCTTCTATTGAAAGAAGGGTGTGCTACGAATGAATTTGATGAGTATAACAACTACTGTGATGTCATTTTCACTTTTGTTGTGTTTTTCCTAAATGCGTGTATTGTAACATAACCTATGTTATGTATATTGGTGCAATCTATTGTAAAATTTATAACTGCTTGCATTAAGTTGGTTGTATGGTTATTGTGGTTAAAAGCACTTGCACCAAGAGCAACTTTTGGAAAGAAGCACTTTCACAGATTATTTTCATTGCAGATGGTACTTTATGAAGCACTTTAATATACTTGGTTGTTACCTTATTTAAAAGTTTATTTTGAAGTTATTGGGTTTCACCTCAGACTTTATCTTTTTCTTATCACATATAAAACTTGATTTGTATTTTTTTTTCAAGTTAATGCATGTCAGTGTAATATTTTGAAAGTCATACTGACAAGTATTACTAAGGACACAATTTAGACAGAGTGTTAAGTCACATACTGGCAAGTATGATCAATAACAGTTTAAAGAGAAAGTGTTGAAATTCACATACTCGCAAATGCTACTAAGAACACAGTGTAAAGAGAATGGCATTGTGTTTGATATTTAGAACATAGGCACAATTAAACAGCATTCTTTGGAAAAAAGGGTGAAATTAAATGTTTTTATTTTTACAATACTTAAAGGATTAATATAGCAATTAGGAATGTTTAACTTTCAAAATTGTTTGCAGGATAACTAAATTTTCTTTGAAACAACAACAACAAATTTTTATGACTCTACAGTAAGAATGTGTTTATCGTAACAACTATATGCATACATAATTTTCCACATCTGTTTTTGGCTAGACGGATCATGGCTTTGAAGAAACATTAGTAGCTAGCTAGTTTAAAAAGAATAATTACACATACATTCCTCTGTTCACTGTGTAAAAATGGATAGTCAGACGTCTCGAAGCAGCTGTGACTCAGTGACCTGTCATGTAACTCACAGTCAGGCTTGGACTATGTAGGTTGCTAGAGTAAATTTCCCCTCTAGAAGTTCATTTCACCCCCAGTGTTGTCCATAGCACACAACGTGTTAACCAGACATTTGTTGTATTTGCTATATCAGCCTATTATTTGGAAACATACTCACCACCAGAACATCAAGTTTTACCCCCCAGCAAACAGACCCCATGGTTCTTCTCTTTCTAACAGTTGCCTGCACAGATCATGCTGTAGTTTATAACTGAAGAAATATTATTTCTTTGGAAACCTTTTGTTCATAAATATAAAATGTATAATTTGATTTGAAGGTTGAAAATGATGAGGTTTAAGAAATCCATTTTGTTACTGGCTTAGCTCTTGGCCCATGTTTATTTTAAAAACTAAGATTTATGTCTGTGTTGTGGAATAGTAAGAATTATTAATATATGTTCCATCTTAAAACATAAATCACAGCTTTGCGTTAAATTGTTTCTAGGGGACTTAATGATTTGATACACCAGTAAAAGTGATTATTTTAGATAATAGTTGTTGATTTAGATGGGATTGAATTTTAATTATTACATTAGAAATATGGCTTTGGTTTCTGATAGGTTTTTTGGTTAAACTAGTGTTGTTGTAAAATATTTTATGTTCTAGTTTTTTCTTTGAATTGTGTTAATCATTTGCAAACAAAAAACACTTAATCCTTAAATTACCAAAGGGCTTATACACATTTTTCTGAACTATTTATGAACCAAATTGCTTGTGGGTTTCTTTGTTAGTTATAAGATCCTTAACACATGGTCACATAAAACAACTGAACAAAAACACCATCACTATTACATTACCTCTACTAGTTACCCATTACTACACTACCCCTATGAGTTACCCATTACTACACTACCCCTATGAGTTACCCATTACTACATCACCCCTACTAGTTACTATGTATCCCTTACTAGTTACCCATTACTACACTATTTACCCGTACTAGTTACCCATTACTACATTACCCGTACTAGTTACCCATTACTATATTACCCCTACTAGTTACTATGTATCCCTTACTAGTTACCCATTACTACACTACCCCTACTAGTTACCCATTACTACATTACCCCTACTAGTTACTATGTATCCCTTACTAGTTACCCATTACTACATTACCCCTACTAGTTACTATGTATCCCTTACTAGTTACCCATTACTACATTACCCCTACTAGTTACTATGTATCCCTTACTAGTTACCCATTACATGGGTAACTAGTAGGGGTAGATGTATACTATATTACCCCTACTAGTTACTATGTATCCCTTACTAGTTACCCATTACTACACTACCCTTACTAGTTACCCATTACTACACTACCCTTACTAGTTACCCATTACTACATTACTGTTTTCAGAGCATTACTCTTATATCGACACTTGGCTATTTTCAGTGTAATAAACATGTTTGGAGCTGAAGACCCTTCATCAGTTAGGTAGGTCAGGGAGTGGCAGTTGCTCTGCTGAATATAATTGTTTTATTTTGGGAACGGGACTGCCCAAAAACAGCCACCCCTGCTCCACTTAAATCCAAAATGGCGCTTCTGTTACCATGTTGTATATGTGAAGTAAAACCTCTAAAATTACTAACTTGTTTTTATACTGTTCACTACTCGGGGACTGGGCCCACATATTGCGCCATATTAAGTAATTTTATATTCTGGATGCTGCAATAGTCGGTGTAAAAAATGACCAAATAAACTGGGTGAAATCACTTATTTTTCTATGTAGGATGCGTAGAAAAACCCAACAGTAATTAATAAAATTAACTGCTTTAAAGATGGTGATTTTTTGTTAACGATGTTTTTGTGTGACTCATATGTTACTAGGGGCGCTGTAAACAACAGTATTAACGCACGAGCAATTTCGTACATAAACAGTTTAGTGAAATGGTTTTGAAAAGCAAATAAGTGAGTCCATCAGCAATTCAAATAAAACTTTATACCGCAAAGTTATGAATTCTCTTAACTACGTGTGTCGAGTTGTTTTTATCACTATCACAGTATCAGCTTACTAGTGTAGGTGGAAGTGTCTAGTCTCCGGGGGGGGGGGGCAGTGCTTCTATAAGAATTACAGAGCTCATCCCTTATGTTGGTTACTGTTGGAGAAAGTATAAGAAAAACAAAAACTGGTGCCATATTGTCTAGAACACGGTAATTCATACCCTTGCTGACGCCAGTGTACGCCACTATTTTAAATTCAATGGAATTACGTACGACTAGTTAGGCTAACACTAACAGACATGGAACTTGCATTAATAGACTTTTTTTTCTTTCTTAAGTAGTTGTGTACTCTTTACAGAAGTTATATAGTCAATATCTGTAAAGTTGACAAAGTGTGTGAAATTAAATAGCATTAATTCAGATGTGATTAACTTTTATTATGTGTGAAGAACATAAGAGTGTATAAGGGTGAGGCTTAACCATTACAGCATTCACACTAATGACTCTTCGGTCCAAAAATAAGCAAATAAACAACGCATTTCTTGAGCTATGCAAAGTATGATGGACGTACTCTAATATATCACTTATTTTACTATACTTACAGCACACGTAAATATGTATCTTACTAAGAAATATAGTATGTTACTTGATTGGATACATATTTTCTCCGTCATGTTACTATATTCGTGTTCGGCACAACAACAAAAATGTTTGCTCTGGTAAATATGTCGTTTGGCTACCTGTAGTCAGTATTTCGATTAATCGATTTCGTATACGAATGATTGTGGTTTTGTTTTTTATCAATCGATCATTACTTTATTGTATTGGTTAAATACCGAAAGTTTTATAAACACACACTCCGACATTTTCAGCACCGCATCAACACGAAAAGTTGAGACGTGGTATGCGAGTTTTTTGTTGTTTGTTTTTTACAGCCAAACTCTATATGTTTATTTCTGACACGTCAACAATTTTCGTAATGATATCGTCTATTGAAATCCATAAAAAGAAACAATTATCATTAGCAACTAAAAGTTAACATGATATGTAATATAGCTAATTTAATATACCATTACAACTATCAGTACCAGTCTAACTAGGAGTTAGCAATGATTTAAGTTAAAAACTTATAATTATTAGATTGGTTCATCAGTTGGGTGCACTCGTTGTTAGCGATATTCTTTGGCTGTAATCGCTATAAATAGTATATGCTAAGGTCTTAAATATATATAATAAAATGACTAGTGTCGCTTGGGGCTTACATATTTATAATTATAGATTATTGGTTTAATTCTGCATCCCTATTACTATTAGGTAATTTTCTTCATTGATGCCTATTGGATATCTAACGTAAAGTCAGTTTGGTGTCAACTGTTGAAAGTTGCTAAAATCCATTGTATGCACCTTTTTTTTAATTGCATTATTGAAAGAATATTCATAAAAATATTTAGACTCATTTCCTAATGTGAAATATCCAGTTAAAAAATTTACATTTAAGTCTTGTGTTATATGCCGAGAAGAAAGGTAAGTAAAGTATTGGATATTGATTTGTATCCATTAGACATGCATGAATTATGTTCTATGTATTTTTATTTCTTGTTTTCAGGTCCAAACATAAAGTTTACAAATGGTTGTGTACATTATATTAAAATTATTTTGAATATACAAATTTATTAGTCATGTGACAACAATCGCTCATATGAAGTTGCAGTGGAATGGGATGTATCAAACTAAATTTTGATGGTTTAGTATTTCACAGGTTTTGTGAATCCACCAAAAAAGTTGATCACTTTGAGGGAAATATATGTAACAGCCCTTTCTGACACAAAATATTTACATTCTCAAATCATAAAGACATGTTTAGATTGGAGATTTACAATTTCCAAATGAGGGCCATCCCTTATACTTAATGGCATAGATAAACAACATAAAAGGGATTAACTTGGTGCACCTGGACCACCCAGAAAGAGACCTTCAACAAATTGTACCCTAGTTGTGGTATGCAAAGTGCTTCATCTTGTAACAGGTGAGAATCCACAAACACTAAGGTCAGCAGAAGAAAAAGCCAATCACATGCTCAGGCAACAGTCTGCAACATAATCAAGAAGGATATCCATCTTGTAACAAGGCCAAAAGGGGTATGGGCTCACCAAGATAAGACTTCCTTTCATACTTCCCATTCAACCATCACATACTTCAAGGAGCTGAAGAATGAAACATGTATTCGTGGTGTTTCATAAAAAGATATACTGGTTTTCTGTTCATATGGACTGTTGAAACAAGCAATGAAAAAACATTGTTCTCATACACTAGAAGAAAAATTTAAACATACAAGAGTTATGTGCTTTGGATATGCCATTATATTACAGAGCCTTTTGCAATGGAAATTATGCTATAGAACTCTTTTTGAGATGCACTTCTTTGAAAAAAAAATTCAGGATCAGTTGACCCAGTAGTGATGACTGTATGGCAAAGTTTTCCACTGAATCACTGCTAAATAATTCAGGATCAGTGGACCCAGTAGTGATGACTGTATGGCAAAGTTTTCCACTGAATCACTGCTAAAGAATTCAGGATCAGTGGACCCAGTAGTGATGACTGTATGGCAGAGTTTTCTGTTGAACCACTGCTAAAGAATTCAGGATCAGTGGACCCAGTAGTGATGACTGTATGGCAGAGTTTTCTGTTGAGCCACTGCTAAATAATTCAGGATCAGTGGACCAAGTAGTGATGACTGTATGGCAGAGTTTTCTGTTGAACCACTGCTAAAGAATTTGTTGTAGATGGAAAATGGGAGTACCTTGAGAAAAACCTGTATTTCACCAGTTGGGTGCTGAAAAATTTACCTGACCAGTCAGGGGTGTAGCCAGCACTGTAGAGTGTGTGTGGGGTCTTTTTTTTTAAACTTGGTTCTTTCTCCTGCAAAAAGAATTTAAATAATTTACATGAAATTAAAGTGTTTATTTTGTAAAAAATCATAAGATAGTGGATCTTTTAGACATTTGATAATATTAAAGTGATAGTTTGATCCTCGACAACCCTTCTAGGTTATGTTATTTAGATGTTCTCCAGTGAAAACAATTTTTGGTAAAAAGCCAAATAAAAGGAACTATATAGGGCAAATTAGAACAGGGGATTAAACATTTTACATTTGATATAAGAGGATTGTTCCTTCTGATAATGATAAAATTGTTTGGTAAAATTATGTAGGTAACTGATACAAGATGGTAACACACTTTACTAATGATTCTCCATTCAATATTTTAAAAGTTATGTACAACATTATCTACAATACTTTTTTTTAAATACAAATTGGAGCATATAATAACTTTACCTCATACGCCACTTTGCAGCCAAAGTCCAGACACTTTTGCAACAATTTTATTTTGTAATATTCATCATGTATACCATGATTTATGTGTAATTAACTACAAACCTGTAATCATATGTATCTTAGTTCCAACTCTTGGGTTTTTAACCCTAGAATTACTGATGAGGCCCATATTATGCACTAATTGCTTGTGGTTTCATTACTTAGTTGGTTACAGAGCTTGTAATAACTACAACTTGCTATTATCTGTTCCATAATGAATGTGTAGTTTTAGTTAGAGGTAAGATTGGAATATTCCAATGTAATACAATTTTCTCTTCAGGGCTGTTGAGCGTTGAGGACTTCTTCACTATCATGGCTGACACTCTGGTTGAGACAACACACTGGGGAAACCTAAAAACTGAAATTGCAGGATATGTTGGGATAGACACGTTACAGGAACAGATCAGGAAGAAGGTCTTAAAACGAGGCTTTGAGTTTAACATTATGGTGGTTGGTGAGTTAATCTTGTGGGATACATACAGACAACTGATAATTTATAATTATATAAAGTTGAATATTGTACAAGTGAATAGAGATAGCTCAGATAATATATAAAAAAAATTAAATGACTGGACTTATGTATTTACTTTGGAAATAAATAGATTTGCCCTTTAAGATCTAGATGGTGCTGTTGTCAGAATTTATAATATATATATATATATATATTCTTTTTCACCAATTGTCAAAATAAAAGGCGTTTACTTATATTTCTTAATACTATAAATATATACTATGTAGTTGTTGTGCTTAGGATTCTTCTACAGTAGGTGTCTGTGACTTGTTAGTGATAAATTCAACAATGAATAAACAGCATGCACTTCAATTGTTTTTAAAATAATATATATATTCAGAACAACTCAACAAGTTAATGTACATACAATAAATTCTTCAACACTATAGATATTATGGGCATAGCATAAATACTATATATGTAGTTCTCTCCTTCTTGTCAAATATCCACTTAGGCCTATTCAATTACTTTAGAATTTCAGTTGACAGGCCAAACTATCTTCTCTATTTCTATCACACTAGTAATAGCAGTAGTATTCTCTGTGATTCACTTACGTTACAATTGTGGTGTGACTTACCCACTACTGTAATTGTTTGGTCTTCTTTCTTCCGAAGATCCTCTGTTCTTTTTGTCAAAGTGCACTCGGGCTGATTCAATTACTTTAGAACCATGCTTTGACGGAATAGATTAGATTTCTTATCTTCTCTCCTACTGTTAGTCGTATTTTAACATATTAAACGTTATGCCTATCACTTCTATGGTAGTTAACTTCATGCCAAATTTTTCCTTGGCCTGTAACTTTACTCTTTTTTGCTATTATCTGTCTGTCTGCTGTTTCTGCTGGTCTCACACTATTTTTATCTTTATCATTTAATCATCTACCTGCCTTCTATATTTCCAACATCATTGTATTGCACGTGACGTTCGATAGTCTCAACATCAATGAATTATTAACAAAACTTCCCACAATTGTCTGCTTTTTAACTCTTATTATAACAAAAACTAATCAATAATATCTAAACTAAACAGTTTTTTATAGCATGACAGCCTTCAGTACAGACTGAAATGTACTTGAGCTGTTATCCAATATTTTTTGGCTTTTTACTTACAAATGTTTATTTTTTTCCCCCTGTTATTGGTATTTTTGTGGGGTGGAACTGTTGGTTTGCTAGATGTATTTCAGCAAGGCTCAGCATCTTTATTGGCTAAATTATGTAAAGAGTTTTCCTGGTAGGTTACTGATATTTTCAAACGAAAAGATTTGGTAAGTACGTCTTGAGTTAAATGTACAAATTGTGTTTCAACTGTCCTCCATACCACATATCAGTTCTTTAGAATTAATACTAGAAATGTCAATTTAAGTTAGAACTCTGTCTATACATATAAAGCAACTGTTTGTAACTAAGTAATATTTTCCAGAATTGTAAATTCCGTATTATTCCTTTTTCTTACAAGCTTTTGGCTGTCTTAGTTTTTTGGGTATAACTCACAAAATGAAAGCTTACATATAAAGTATTAAGCATGACTTTTTCCTATCTTAAGACATCCAATAGGAGTCACTATTTCAATTGCCCCACAGTGGCTCAGTAATAAGTCTGGCTTTAAACACTAAAAACTAGGTTTCAATACCTAAGGTGGGCATAGCACAGGTAGCCCATTGTGTAGCTCTGCGCTAAGGCGGGCATAGCACAGATAGCCCATTGTGTAGCTCTGTGCTATGGTGGGCATAGCACAGGTAGCCCATTGTGTAGCTCTGTGCTTAACAACTATTTTAATCACATTTGTTCCTAACTGGATGAATTTAATGTTTTTTACAACAATTACCGTTTCTCATCCTCCACACTGAACTTGTTTACACCAATTTCAGGTAGAAGTGGACTAGGCAAGTCGACTCTCATCAATACTTTGTTTAAAGCTAACGTAAGTCTACGTTCTTGCTCAAAAAGTGAAGAGAAGGTTGAGATTGCAAAGACTACGCACGTGAAATCTGTTAGTCATGGTAAGTGAAAAAAAAAAAGGTTTTGTGTAATTTAATAAAATCGTCTTCCTTAGATTCTACATAATTTAATCAAATAAAACATTAACTCATTTTATAGCATTCGTTTGTAGTTATTTAGTGTCATGTCATCAAGTTATGAAAAATATGTGACTACAAAAGTTTCTTTGAAAGATTTCACATATTTAACTCGTTTGCTGTTACTATACAGTTATTTGTAAAGAATAGTTGAAAGGTCATTACTAATTATCGTGTAATTAAGAAAATTGTATCGATAATAAATAAATGATTACTTTTGCCAATATAAAAATATCTGAAGCTCTGAAAATGTAAAGTTTAAAGAAAGGAACAAAAGCTCAACTGATTAACAGTAAGTTGTTGTTGTTTGATAAATAAAATTTGCACACTAGATTTTGTTTATGGAAAGATGATAATATAAGTTTTACCTTTAAGAATAAGTGGTGAAAACTCTTTACCAGTAGAATTAGATAATACTTAATGGCAGGTCATCTAAACTTGTATACAAATTTATAAATTATGACACATCAGTAGAAAGTATGAAATTTGTAATGTAACATTTTTTTTGAAGAATAAAAACTGAATGTTTGTTGATTTTTGGACAAGAAATTATGTTGAGTAACTTTTTTTTTTCACGGTTCATGGTTAACCTATTTGTTATAATTCATGGATAGGAATTTTCGTACTTGTTTTAATACGTTTGTTAAGTAATATGGTTTTGTTTCATTTGTAGTTGGTTTCACTCCATGTTTAAATAAAATCAATTATTGTTTTGTTTTCGTGATCAGTTCTAACCATTTCAGTTATTTATAATAAGTTTTGCAATCACACTTGGCCAAACATTAACATTATGTGGTAAGTTTTTTAAACATTGCAAAAAAAGGAATATAATTGTAATCTTATCTCTGTATAATTGGTTAGAAATATTTTCATGAAAATTTTTCAAATTAAATATTTTTACAGTGTTGTAGCATAAATTCAATCTGTGTAATTTGTTATGTGATTATAAAGCAACTTGGAATTTTTCAGTTTAATTGTAATTTTTCTGTTATAATGAGGCCTATCCAGAACTTAAAAATAAAAGTTGTACTTTTCATATCTACAGGATTCATTTATTTGTAGTTATTAAACACAAAATGCTGCTTAATAATACAGATTTTCTTTTTTTTTTCTGGTTAAAACTCGGTATGAAACAGTAAATAATAATACAATATATTACTGTACATATGTACGATCCTATACCAAAAAATCCTTACTTTGTTTTCAATTGTCACAGAATTTATAAAAATAGGCCTTAGTAATATAAGATTTTGAGCAAGTAAAATATCTTGGGTTCAATTCCCAGTGGTGGACAGAGTGCTGATAGTCCATTGTATGTTTGGCCTTGCATAAAGAAAATCAGTAACAACAACAAGATTTTGAAATTAAAATAGACGTTGTTCAATATTTTAAATTTCATCAAATTGTCTTGAAATTAAAACAAATCTAAATAGCTTATGAAATATTAACCTTGTTTCTTGTGATAACTAGAATAATGATTTTTAGCTTTACAATTGAGTCAGTTTTATGCTTAAATAATTAAAATAATAGTTAAGTTGCTAACACATATACAGAAGCATGAATTTTAGAGATTGAAATAATAATGAAATTGGTTAACATGAATCCAGAAACAGGACTTTGGAGTTTAAAATAATAGTTAAGTTGCTAACACATATACAGAAGCATGAATTTTAGAGATTGAAATAATAATGAAATTGGTTAACATGAATCCAGAAACAGGACTTTGGAGTTTAAAATAATAGTTAAGTTGACTTTCATGAATCCAAAAGTGGAATTCAAGAGATTAAATTAATAACTAAATTGAGTTACATATAAATCCAGCAGCAAGATTTTTAAGGTTAAAATAACAGTTAATTCAAAAGTAGGATTTTAGAGATTAAAGGAATAATTAAGTCTAAAAGCAGTATTTTAGAAATGTATTTATTGATATTAAAGAAAATTGATATTCCAATGCTTAAAAAAGAAGAGAAAATTGGAACTTGTACTTTCACAAAAACTTGGTGCTCTGAGTAAATTCTGACTGACTTGATGGTGCTCTGAGTAAATTCTGACTGATTTGATGTAAATACGGAAGTTAACCTTCTGAAAGGAATACAAAGAGATAAACTACATACAACTACAGAATGACAAAATATCTGTGTTAATATCATAATGATACTGTGGGGTTGAATAATTAAAAAGATGAGTTTCTTCCTTTAAAAATCTTCTTTAATATCTCTAAATGATCAAATAGACTGTTCTAAGTGACACTTTGTAGCATTTAAAATGAAGCAGAATTTGTATTCAAGTATAAAAGGGATGTTGAATGAAAAGTTCATTTTTTCCAATTGTCAAATGTTTTGCCTTTAGAATGCTCATGTAAGAGTTAAAAGCATCGTGTTATCTCTGACTTTGATCTGCGGTTATGAATATTAGCATGTTTGTATTATTTGTTATAGTAATTGAAGAGAAAGGTGTGAGGTTAAGATTAACTGTCACAGATACACCTGGTTTTGGAGACCAAATCAATAATGATAAGTGGTAAGTTTTGCTTTAACAGTTATATATATTTTATTACATGTTAACCAAATTTTTGGTTACTAATGTTAATATTCAGGTGTCTTTTTTTTTTTTACATAGCTTACCTCAAGTACAAAAAAAAATGTTTTACACCAACAGACATCAGTTAAGTTTGAGATAACATTGTCATAGATTGGAGTCGAACTTTGTTTTAACATTTAAATTGAATAATTTCTTCCTAAATGATCATGCTCATAATTTAAAATATAATCTGATAATAGACAAAAAAAATACGTGTAGCAAAGTCTGACAAAATTTGAAATAGTTTGCTGACATTTATGGCTGTCTATCGAACCTTAACCTACTGTACTTTATCACTCTCATCAAGCTTTTTGCTTCTCATATATCTACAAACTACGGAATAGCATCTGTGACTTAACATTTCGGAGTAACTGTTAAGATTCCATAATTTTTCAACATCTTCAAATGTGTAAACATTTACATTACGAAAAAAAGATTACACACACAGAAATATCGAACACCAGAAGAGCATAAAATCTTAAAATGTTCCATCACATCCTTACAAAAAGTTAGTTAATATAACCATTATCTAAAATGCTTCGGTAAAATATTTGAGATATTGTAATATGTTTTTCAATCTGCATCATTCTGTTCTTGTACTTTGAATAACCATAGTTTACACAAAGTACACAAACTTTTGACTTACGTTTAAACGTAGAAGTAATAAAAATACTATCTAGTATGGTTTGATTCCAGCACATAAAAAAAAAAGTTTGTGCTAATTAATCGTTTAAAACTATTAATTCTAATACAATATTTGGATATAATATAAAGCGAAATTTATTGTATTTCATTTTTCTTTTAACATAATAATAATAATAAAATACCAATTAACTATGTGATTCAGAGTTTAATTAATTTTTTTTGTTACCAGAATGTAAGATTAGTATAACAGTAACGAGCTAGCAGGTTCAGCTGCTACTTATATTATTTTAAACCAACAGTTTTCTTAATAAAAAGAACAGTAAAGTGCGTAACTAACAATATCCAAGTTCCCTCGTAATTTTGTTATTAAATTGGCACATGCTGTATTTGTGCATAGTGATGTTTGGTGTAGTTAACAAATGGATTTTCTTGTAGGATATTTAGTAAGATTTGTTTAGTAACCGTATATATATGTATGTGTGTGTGTGTGTGTGTGTGTGTGTCCACTTAAAAAATGCAAGTCTTTGTAAAAGCGCTTTATTGGTGTTACTATTTAAGCACTAGTTTTAATGGAATTCACATATGATTAAAAGAAATCCACAGAATTGGTCTTATCACTGCTGTGTCATGTTTCCCCTACATTATTGGTATGTTTATTATATATTTGACACAATCAAGATGCTTTCAAGGACTAATCTGAGCAGAGCAATATAATTCATATTTGTAGAGCTAAAGTCCAGTTCTGAAAGTTATCTTTTTTTTAGGGTTAATCTAGAATAAGCTATGCACTATTTTTGAATTTTCTGCATATTTTTTCTTATTAGATAAGTTATCTCTTAAGCTTTTCTGCCCTTACTCAACATTAACAGTTAACCTTGTAAACAAGAAGTTCTGGATAATTTTTTTCTGTCAGGTTGGTTTGCGTCATTGAGCTCCTCACAGCTAGTTTAGTCATTATGTTAATGTACTTCGTGTTCCTGTTATAGGTTGAAGATTATGTTAATTTCAAGTTCTACTTAAATTCAAGATACATGTTTCAGACAAGGAAAAATATGACCTTGTGTTTCATATTCCTGACTAGTTTTTATACCACTTGTACAGTACTGGTTATAAAGAACTAATGCAGAATGTTTATTTGATGAAATACTTTACAAAACATTATATAATAATATAGTTCATAGTGGTGTTTTTATTTTTTTTTCTATACATTTAGGAATTTCTTTTGCATACCATTATTAGTTTGTAATAAAATTATAGAGTTCATTTTATCGTGACCTCAAGTGACACAGTGGTTAGTCTGATGGCTTATAATGCTAAAAACCAGATAGTCTATTGTGTTGCCTTGTGGTTAATTACAAGGAAACAAACAAAATCCTTTTATCATAAGGTTCTTGAGCTATTCAATTGGGAAAACTCAATTAATATTTATATAATTAATATTACTCTTGGTAATGTAGTGATATGACTAATTAAACCTAATGATTTGATTTCCTTTCATAGCTGGCTGCCAGTTCTGGATTATATCAATGAACAATATGAAAACTATTTAAGTGAAGAACAAAGTGTATCTCGTAAAAAACATATTCCTGACACACGTATTCATTGCTGTTTATACTTCATAGCTCCAACAGGACATTCGTAAGTACCGATTGTTTACATCCAAGTAAATAACATCGCATGTTTTGTTTAGAATAGAATTTAAATAAAAGTCCTAAATGTTATATTAACATTGTGCAACTTGTGTCTGATATTTTATTGTGTTTATGATGCATCACCTACTGTTTTAACTAAAGCAGAATTTTGGTTTTTTAGTCTTTTTTTTTCTTTTTTTTGCTCGAGTATTTTCATATAGATTTCATGGATTTTTGTGTGTTACATCAACTGTAATCATTATTGTGTAACTTTCAAAGGAAGCAACTTGTACGGAAGTAATATACAGATCAGGATGTTGCTGATGTTACACGCATTATC